CCCCTTGCCGGGCGTGGGGGTCCCGCGGCCGCCGTGCACCCCAGGGGCAGCCACCCGTGCTCGGCTCCTTTCCCGCCCCGGCTTCACCAGTGCTTTCCTTCGACAGCTCCAACCTCCCTGCACTCTGGAGGGCAGGCAGCAGGATGTGCCTACCAGAGGGAAGGGCACCTGGGTCATCCCACGTGTGTATCAGGATACACATGGCTGGGGTGTGCTGGGAGGTGTGAGCAGAGTCCAACAGGTCCTCTGTGACTGGTACCGCAAGGGCGACCGAAATAAACTGCTCCGTGGCTATGGTCCACAGGCCAAGTGAAGGAAGCAGGGTGCAGGCTGTGAGATGTGGGATGCAGGATGCAGTTATGGGATGCAAGGTCTAGAATGCAGGGTGCAGGCTGGCTGCAGGATGAAGGTTGCAGAACAAAGGATGGAGGATATGGGGTGCAGGTTGCAGAATGAAGGCTGCAGGCTGCAGAGGAAGGATGCGGAATGAAGGTTGATGGATGCAGAGCGCAGATTTCGGGCTGCGGGATGCAGAATGGCAGCCCCAGGAAAGAGAGGCAGGATGAGGGGGAAAGGAGCAGGCAAAGGGCAGGGAGTCTCCAGCCCATGTGCACCATGCGGCCATGGCCCATCCATCCCCTTGTCCCCTTCTCTTCTCTTCCCCAGTCCCAGCCGGGCAGTGAGCAGAAGACATGCCACCCAAACTCTAGCTGCCATGAGGCCATGCACAAACCCACCACCCAACCCTCACAGTGTCCCAGAGGATGTGCCTACCAGAGGGAAGGGCACCTGGGTCATCCCACGTGTGTATCAGGATACACATGGCTGGGGTGTGCTGGGAGGTGTGAGCAGAGTCCAACAGGTCCTCTGTGACTGGTACCGCAAGGGCGACCGAAATAAACTGCTCCGTGGCTATGGTCCACAGGCCAAGTGAAGGAAGCAGGGTGCAGGCTGTGAGATGTGGGATGCAGGATGCAGTTATGGGATGCAAGGTCTAGAATGCAGGGTGCAGGCTGGCTGCAGGATGAAGGTTGCAGAACAAAGGATGGAGGATATGGGGTGCAGGTTGCAGAATGAAGGCTGCAGGCTGCAGAGGAAGGATGCGGAATGAAGGTTGATGGATGCAGAGCGCAGATTTCGGGCTGCGGGATGCAGAATGAAGGCTGCAGGACAGCGGGTGCAGGATGCAAGATGCGAGTAGCAGGATGTGGGCTGGGGCTGGGCAGGCGCTGGCAGCCGCTTCCCCACTGCCTGGTGCTGTGGCCAGGGAGTTTTCACTGGAATTTCTCTTCTGGGTGGCCAGAGTTTCATCAGGGATGGGGATTTCCTCAGATAGCACTGTCATTTGTGCCAGGCCTCAGCATGCAGTGGGCGAAGAGGACCACACAGCCAGGCAGGATGGGCTGGGTGGGGGGG